GCCAATGGTACGGCGACATGTTCAACAAGTATTTCCGCGTCCTACAGTCTATCGACTCGTTTCAGCTCCGTCCGGAAATCGATCATCACATAAAGACGAGTGGGAAGCTAATGTTGATTCCTTTTGTGGACCATCTCATATTCGGAGCCGTAGACCCTATTATACCAATCGTAGCGAAAGGAGCAGGTTACGCAAATGCCAAAGGGAGAGGAAACGACAGAAATACGCCAGGCTTCGGTGAGCCAGGGAAGTTTGAGATCAGGTTCGATGCAGAGACCGAGGTCACAGATACGTATACGAAGAGCGTTGTACGGCAGTGTGAGTGTATGAAGTGTGGTACCAAACGAGACGTACAGGTCGTAATATCAGTGGACCCGAATCCAAACACTGGAGCGAGTGCAGGCACATCGTCTACCAGTCGACAGCGCGACACAGCGCCACCAAACTCCAGGACCGCACAGAGATACAGCCCAGGCTACCAGATGCCTACCCAGATCGAACCAGCACCTCCACGCCAACCTCCCCGACCACAGGCACAACCACCTCAGGAACCTTCCCCATCTCAGCGCCCATCAACCCCCGACCTCAAAAAGCAATGCCCCCGCTGCACCTTCCTCAACGACCCCGCCCTCACAGCCTGCGAAATGTGCGAAGCCACCTTGCCAGAAGCCACCATCGCGAAACCGCCTAGTCCAGTGACCAACCGAAAGCCTTCGCACTCACACTCCGCATCGCACCCACCTCCCAACGTACACCGAAGCAGAGAAGAAGCACTCCGACAAGAACAAAGACCCGGCGCACCTAATAGACACAGTCTAAGCCAAAGCCTTTTCTCCATCTTCCCATTCTCGCAGCAACAGCAGCAGGAGCATCATGCTAAGCTGCCGCCTACACAGCAAGTCGATACTTCTGCTGCTGTGAAGACAGCTGCCATACGGCAGGAGACGAGGAAGACAGAAGACCCCCGACCTGCTTCGAAAGAAAGCAACAAACCACACATCTCCCATCCTCCACATCCACCTCCCCAAGCCGAATCTTCTACCTCCCGTCACGCCGCAACCACATCTCCAAACCGCGCCTCCACACCACCACTATCCAACCACCCAGAAATGGCAATGATGCCCCTCTCCCCCTCCCCACCCTCATCTTCGCATCCGCGGCCCGCACCCGCTGGTCTCCCGAGTAACCTCATGGACGACTTCGTCCCTGTGTCGCCTGCTTTCCCGCAGGACGACGAAGATGAAGATGCGGGGTGGGGGTCTATGAGTCGGGAAGAGGCAAGGGGGCAGGAGAGTAGTAGTGATGAGGGAGATGACGATGAGGGAGGAAGTGGCAGGGGGAAGGGGATGATTGATTTGGATGCTGTGGCGAGGGAGGAGGCTGATGTTTGGGGGGATAGAGAGGAGTGATTGATTATATATGGAGGGGCCTGCATAGAGTTGTTGGTGTTGGATTCGAAGAGATCTTTGCCCAGTTCAGTTTTTAGTCATTTATGTCTGGCGTTCAGTTACACATTAGATAATGCTAGGAACGAGATTACGAGGTTGAATTGAAGGGACTCTTAGTTGCGTTTGTCTATACTCCCAAACACCCATTCCCAAGCCCACGTCTTCAGCGCAATAGAAATGTACGGCCAACTCCACGCTTCATGGTCTTTCATCTGCCCGCTCCGTGCAATGCACCAAGCGCCCACCCCTGTTGTTCGACGTCTGCGACAAGCTTTGCATATGGTGATACGCCCTGCTCTTCATGAGCCGAATCGTGATGTTCAGTACACAGCCGCACGCCCATCGTAGTCGGCCCTAACGTCATCCACAAAGTCATCCTACGAGTTGAGGTAGTTCCGGACAGCGCCCTGCAGTTTCGTTGCACCCTCGCCGAGCATGTTTGTTAGGTTCTCGAGATCGTCGCCAGCGGTAAGACCAAACTTGCGGACAAAGTCCTTGGCGGCGGTTTCGAGGTCGCCGTAGTCTTCGTCGCCGACTTCGTCTTCGGGTCGGCCAAAGTATGCGTTGGAGGAGATAGCGCTCGCGCCTTCGAAGCCTACAGAATAAGTTAGTAAATCGACAGTAAATGCTTTCCCGTATAGTGCATACCTGATAACCTCTCCTTGGCCTGCGCGGTGGCAGTAGGATCGAATGCGTTGCGTCCAAAGAACTCGTCACTGGAGATGCCCTTTTGTGTGCCAAACTTGTCTCGCGCGTACTTCTCGCCGTCATCCTGCGCAGGCTTGCCTACACTGCCGAAGCCGCCCATCTTCTTCTGCGGTGCAGCCTTCTTCGCTGCGCCTACTTGTCCGAAACCTAGACGTTGTACGCCCATGCCTAACCTCTCCATATCTTGGCTGGAGCGCTCGGTCTTGGAGGTGGAGCCGAAACCACCCCGTGGCGGCGATACGGGAGTCGGGGAGACAATGGCGGATGCTTCGGGGGCTTTCGCCTTGGTGGCCGCCGCGGCTTCAGCGGCTTCAGCTTCGGGATCGTAACCCAACTTCTCGATGCGCTCAGCCTCTTCGCGGGCCTTTCGCTCTGCTTCCTCAAAGTCTAGGCCTCCATCTGCGGCAACCACCTTCTTTGCTCCGAGACCCTTCTTCTTGGCTCCCAGAATATTCTTCTTCGGCGCAGCGCCAGCGGTCGTCTTTCGTACGGCAGCGGGCTTTGCAGCGGGTGTGCTCGATTCACCGCCAACGAGTGGCGACTTGGGACGGTCTGTTCCATTGCCGTTGGCGCCAGGCTTCAGGAAGGGTGATCCTCCAACCTTGGGTGTACCGGTACGCGAAGGTGGGTTCGACGGGCGCTTGATGGCGGGCTTGTCCCATGAGGAGAAGAAGTCGTCTTCGTCATTGGCTGGCGTGTTGGTGCCGTCGGTGCCAACTTCGGGCACATCTGTGATAACGACCTCGTTGGGGTACCTGGTGAAATCAGGTTAGCCCAGTTTACCGTGTAAGAGAATTACTTCTTACATCCTGGCGTCCGCGGCGCAGCGCCTGGTCAGCTCCTCTTTGTACTTGGTGGCGGCATTGCTCGTGTATTTGGCCTTGTGGTCTTTACTCGCGAGCGCAGCAGAGCCTCCGTGCGACTGGAAGTACTTGGTAGCGCTTTCGTTACCGCCCACTTTCATGATTCGTAATTGATCCCATTGCCAGACTACCCCCAATCAGTATGTGTGTTGTATAGCCATGAGACTCGGGAGTGAACGTACTGTCGAGGTTGGTGGATCGTACGAAGGAGATGTGGACACCCATGTTACGATGGTTGGACGAGCAGTCGAGGCACAGGTAGATGCCAAATGGTACAGAACTCCATGTTGGGTTCTTTGCGCCGCAGTCGAAGCATATCTAGGGCTGTATTAGGCATTGACCGAGTATCTGTCTGCTTGCAAGACGTACCTTGTTCGCGGGCTTCGACTTCAATTTGGTAAAGATGTTCTGCGACTCGGTCTTGGTGGCGAGGGCAGCCATGGTGGGAGTGGGTAGGAATGGTGCGGGTTGGCGGTAAAGGAGTCGAGCTGTGGTGGGGATAATTTGGGTTGCGGCGCTCGGGAATGCTAGGGTGTCGTTTCCAGGAAGCCGCGTTCTTGACACGTGATACGCGCGATTGCAGGTGCAGGTGGTACCTCGATGTCGCAACTTCAATTTCTACTTTCGCTTTCACCAAACGACTCTCGATTAACATTTTGCGCTCAATTCTGTCTTGCTTATATAGGTTTTCGTCTGAACCACATTCGTGGTTAAGAGACGCCCCCGAGCTCAGAACCATGGTTGCTACTCGATGCTACACGCTCACTTCGCGCGCCTGAACTCGATCGCGACACTGTAGACACGACCCAGAGCTGTCGTTGGCGAATACAAGAACTTCACCATTCTTGCGCTAGTCTATGCTCGAAAGATGACATAGGCTTCGGACGTCGTCTTCCTATCTCCCTATCTTCCCGTCCCACGACCTGACGCGACAGCACAAGTGGGGTATGCATATACATATGATGGCATACCTCACCTGCCCCCAAGTAGCAGCTTGGGTCTATTGCATACTCACATATCAACTTTCATAAAATACAGACTACAGTATCCTACAACTCCCCACCATGACCTCCCTCCAAACCGTTCCCGCCCGCCGCGGAGCAGCCACCCTCGTCAAAGCCGGGCAGAAGATAAAGATAACAAACACGCACGGAAACCAAGTCGTCGATACCTGGGTGCTCGCACTTCCTTCCTCCGTCCTCACAACCGCGTCCTCAAAAATCGAAGCACCGCTCTACCCAATCGCGACCGCCGACTCACCGTCCAAGTACTCTACTACTGCGAACGCTGCTGCCAGCGCGCCCGAATACATGTCCATGTGCCACTGCCGAGCAACGCTTCTGAAAGTGACGCCGGCAGTGGGTGATGTAATGGTCAGTCAGAAGAGGGCGCCGATGGTCAAGCTGGTGGAAGATACAAGTCCAGGTGTGCACGACACTTTGGTCGCGGCGTGTGATCGGTGGCGGTATAGTGAGCTGGGCGTGAATGGATACCATGAGTCTTGCACAGACAATTTCTGGGATGCTCTGCACGCGCTGAGTACATCTTCGTCTCTCGCGGCTGAGGAGAAGGAGGCGATTGAAGGCCTGCAAGCGAAGATCGGCTACAGAGTCCCGGATCCGTTCAATTTGTTCATGAACATTCCTATCACGCAGGAAGGTGAGGGAGCGAAGAGAGGTATTAGTTTTGAAGAGCCGAAGACGAAGGCGGGAGACTACGTGGTTCTGGAGGCGCTTAGGGACGTAGTTGTGGTGATGAGTGCGTGTCCACAGGATGTTCTTACGATTAATGGCAAGAATCCGGTGGATGCTCATTACCAGGTTCTGGATTGAAGCTTCGAGGTCGAGTGAGTCGTACGATATAATAATCAATAACGATAAATGAACTTGATATATTATTACCTGAGTTCATCTCAGATACGAGAACAACGAATTTGGTCCAGCCGATTCCAAACTGACGAAGAACGTGAACAGTAAGCACCCTAATATGAGCCCCACTCGCCATATCCAGTACACCACGTGCCCTCTCCTGGTCTGGTCTCTCCTCTCTTCGTTCTCTCTGGACAACCATCTCCCTGCACCAGGCCACTTACCGACCACTAAAGCTGCAAGATACCATGCTGCCAGGTGAATGAACGACGCCAGCGGTAAGATAGCTAGAATCCAGATGACGAAGAGTCTACTGCGTAGAATAGAGGAGATGCCGAAGATGTCTGCTAAGCGCGTGAGAAAGAAAAGCGCGACGGTGCTGACCATGATAATCTGGGACACCAGAAGGATCAAGTGATCGTGATACCAGTCGTGCGAGGCGAAGTTCTCGTAGGGGTATGTTGGAAGGTTAACGAGCCGACGGCAGTTCTCAGAATCGAATGGGTCTGGGTCGACGGCGCTCGGATCCTCCGTCTCCTCGGTCGCCGCCGTTCTAGGCGGGGAGGATGTGTCCTCGTCTGTTCGCAACGCTTCTTGAGCTTTTGCGTCGTCGTCAAGATACGCCTGTGCCATAGAGAGAAGCGGTAGTAGAAGCAAGATCAACGGTAAAGTTTGGCCGAAACCCCAGGAGTTCTCCTCAGAAATCTTCTGGTTAAGAGTAAAGTTGTAGCCGTCATAGTTCCATGACGCTGCAGCGCGCGTATCCCAGACTTTGATGGTTCCCCAAGCCATCGCAAATGCCAACCAGAGGATCTCCAGTAGCATTGACTCGACGACATCGTAGGAGGCCCGGACGGTTATGAAGCCGGCGTATGAGAGTAGGTATGGTAGGTGCCAGATGTAGGCCTGGACTGTAGGAGGTAATGTCTTGCTCTCCAGGAAACTGAGGAAATGCTTGAACTTTGTTCCAGGTAACGTCCGAAGGCATGTGCGGGATACATCCCCATCTCGGTCAAGTAGCTGTATACCACACCGAACAAAAGACACACCAACGATAACCACAGAGAAGATCATAGACCAAATCTTCGGACCCCGCCGCAAGAACGAGCGCATACCAAGCTCTTTGTAGAAGCAAACAGCACTCAAACTAGGATAGAACCCCTCGCCATCATCAGGGTACCCATTCAACCACATCCTCGACCCCGTCGGAAGCAAAGCCGCGATCAACAGAGAAGCAAGGAGAACCATAAAGACCAATCTGACAAGCCGCATACTTTTGTTAGTCTGGGAGCAGCCTTCGAGGAAGGCTGTAGCGGAGACGAAAGCAAAGCTTGCGAACCACGAAATGAAGACCATCATCTGCCAGTGATACGCAGATATGCCGCATTTTAGTTGCGAGTAACCGGCGATGAGGATGGCGGTGCCGGTAACAAGATTTAGGTCGCTGAGGATGAGGACGGACTTTTCAATGGCGTACTGGAAGCGTCGGCTGGGAGTCCATGAGAAGATACGTGAGCGTATGAAGGTGAGGATTCGATGGTCGACTGCATTGATGTGGGTGTTTGATGTGCTCTTTGTTTGATGGACGTTGTGGACGGTGATGTAGTGGATGATGAGTAAGAGTAATGTGAGATATGCTGAAATCGAGAAACCGAGAATGACCTGTTGTGTACCGGAATTAGGCGGAGTGATACACATTGAGTCCTGATACTCACACCGATGCCTGAGAGATCTGAATCTGGCAAGAGAGGTGGCACATTACTGAGGTTTGTCAAATTAGTTGAAGAGAGCCACGCGCAGCTCGGTAACTGGCAGCGGGTGACAGCCTCTTTCACCGTGGTGTTCATCATGAATTCATCTAAACATGATCGAGATGGTAGAATAAGAAAGAGAAGCTGGACACTCCGACGCGAAAGGCATCGCTCGCGCTATCAGCCGCTCCAGATGTTACTGCCCTGGGAACTGGCCGGCGGTCAATACTAGTCGCGCCGAGGTATGCATGTATTCATAGTTGTCAGTTGTTCCCAAATTAGTGCGGGTCTGTTAGATACATAGGATCGCTGCGTTCTGGAAACCGAATTTATTGCGTGGTCTTGAGAAACATATCCGGAAGTTGAGCCATGGTGTTGTCAGGCGCGTGATGAATGGGTGCAACTGCCCGGACGAACGACGCTAGCATTGGATGCGGGACTAGCGCGGCGGCGAGGCGAACGATTTTCCCCACCGGTATCGATAGCGTCGTGAACTTTTTTGCCCTGAAGTCTCTCCAACGCGCAGACGGCTTTACTCGACATCAACACCCGCAGTCGCCAAAATGAAGACCCAGTGGAAGGACATCCCCGCTGTACCCACGAGCCAGGAGTTTCTGGACATCGTGCTTTCCAGGACCCAGAGGAGGTAGGTGCCTTCCTCGACACAACCGCGCAAAGCGCCTTCTCTCTACCGCCCTGCGCTTTGCGACTGTGCAGGCGCAACGCGTTTCGCATAGGAGATGACCAAGCTGACCGAAACTCAGATTGCCGACACAGATTCGTGCTGGATTCAAGATCAGCAGAATTCGAGCCTTCTACACGCGAAAAGTCAAGTATACCTCCGAAACCTTTACCGAGCGCCTCTCAACCACCATCGAGGCTTTTCCGCGCCTCGCCGACATCCACCCGTTCCACCGCGATCTGCTCAACACCCTATACGATGCCGATCACTTCAGAATTGCGCTTGGTCAGCTTTCGACCGCAAAGTCGCTGATCGAGACGGTTGCGCGCGACTATGTCCGTCTTCTCAAGTACGGACAATCGCTCTTCCAGTGCAAGCAGCTGAAGAGGGCGGCGCTGGGTCGTATGGCCACCATCTGCAAGAGGTTAAAGGACCCTCTCGTCTACCTTGAGCAGGTCAGGCAGCATTTGGGTCGTCTTCCGTCCATCGACCCTAACACCCGCACACTCGTCATTTCTGGCTTCCCCAACGTCGGAAAGTCTTCATTCCTGAAGTCCATCTCAAGGGCCGATGTTGAGGTGCAGCCCTACGCCTTCACCACCAAGAGTCTGTATGTCGGGCATTTTGACTACAAGATGCTCCGGTTCCAGGCTGTTGACACTCCTGGTATTTTGGACCACGCACTCGAGGACATGAACACCATCGAACATCAGTCTATCTGCGCCATTGCCCATCTTCGCGCCCACATTCTCTACTTCATGGATCTCAGCGAGCAGTGCGGTTACTCCGTTGCCTCGCAAATCGCTCTGTTCAACAACATCAAGCCTCTGTTCGCCAACAAGCTGATCTCCATCGTCATCAACAAGATCGATCTTATGCGCCCGAACCAGCTCGACCCCGAGACACAGGAACAGCTACAGGGTATGCTCAAGTCCGGCGAAGTTGAGATGCTCGAGCTCTCTTGCAACACAACTGAGGGTGTCATGGCCGTGCGAAACTCAGTCTGCGATCGCCTGATCGCTGCCCGTAACGCTGAGAAGCTCAAGGCCGGTACCAACAGCGCCGGTGAGCCTTCTGGCCGTCTCGGTGAGCTGCTTCGCCGTATTCACGTTGCCCAGCCGTTGGGCGGCGTTACTCGCGAAACCTCCATCCCAGAGGCTGTACTCAACAAGAAGAAGTACGACAAGGAAGACCCTGACAGGCCGCTCCTGGAGCGTGATTTGGAAGAGGCAGACGGTGGCGCTGGTGTGTACAACATCGATCTTCGCAAGAACTATATGCTCGAGAACGACGAGTGGAAACACGACCGCATTCCTGAGGTCTTCAAGGGTCAGAACGTTTACGACTTCATTGACCCTGACATCGAGGCCAAGCTTGCCGCGCTCGAAGCCGAGGAGGAGAAACTGGAGGGTGAGGGCTTCTACGATTCCGACGACGATCTTGAAGACGCAGAGGAAGCGGACATCAGGTACAAGGCAGAGCTCATCCGTGAGAAGAGGCAACTCATCCGCAACGAGGCCAAGATGCGCAAGAGTCTCAAGAACAGGGCCGTCATTCCCAGGACCAAGAAGGCCATGCAAATGTCAAAGATGGAGACACATCTGGAGAGTCTCGGCTACGATCCCTCAGCGGCTGTCGAGCGTACGACTGCAAAGGCAGAGGCGCGAGGCCGCAGCTTGGCTCGTGGAAGATCAGAGGCTCCTGGTGGCGATGCTATGGAGGTCGATACGCCTGGTGCTGCTATGCTTGCGCGTGCTAAGAGCCGAGGCCGCAGCCAGAGCACCAACAGGAGGAATGATGGTGTTACGAATGAGGTTGCCGCTTCCAAGGCTGAGAGGCTGCAGAAGTTGTCGCAGCAGAAGATGAACAGGATGGCCAGACAGGGTGAGGCCGATAGGCACCAGACTGGTTCTTTGATCAAGCATTTGGTGAGTTTCATTCCGAAACCTTTTGCTTTCGGCACAGTTGCTAACAGTTATCTAGACTGCAGGAAAGCGTGGTATCGGAAAGACCAGCCACAGATAAGCGTGGAGTCTTATGCGTTCTTGCATTGCGTGTTTGCAGGTGGGAAAAATCATGGTTGGCGTTTGGGATGCATTAGATACCAACTCGCTGTTGATGAAAGCAGCGTGGTAATGCAATACTTCTTTCCATCACTACCCTATCTCGAGCGAAGTGATCATGTTCAAGCTTTGCGCCAAGCGTTTCGGCCGGTTTGCTCCGCAATCCGCTGCCGCGACTAAATCCCTTCCAAGGTTCCTTTGCGCTACGCCACTCCACTGCGCGATTGTGTCATGGTGTTTTATCGGAACTCGAGTAGTCGTCTATTCACACATCGCTTCTGTCATGTTTTCCCACGGACGGTACATTGCCCAACAGTCGGGAGTTACTGCTCAAAATCGGCTCGATATCTGGCTCACTGCACGACGGACGAACCCGCCAAGCTGTTTGAATATACATCAGGGAGATGGATGTTTGTCAAATCCTTTACTAAATTCGATACTTGTTGCTGACTATGAATTAAAGCTGGAACGATGCCTCGAAGCACTCTGAACGAAGACGTGTCTTCAATGTATTGGAGTTCAAGCGCTTCGCGGCCGCAGCTGTCAATCAGAACGTTGAAGACGTGACTTCCTTCGAAAAACTAGCTGAAGGGGGCTTCAATCGAACCTTTCTGATCACGATGCGTGACGGCTTCCAGTTTGTTGGGCGCATCCCTTATCCGGTTACGGAGCCGAAGCACCTAGTCGTAGCCAGTGAAGTCGCGACGATGGACTTTCTCCGTTTACACGGCATACCCGTCCCCAAGGTCTACGGCTACTCAGCTACAGCGGAGAACGCTGCTGGCACCGAATATATCTTCATGGAGTTTATCCGGGGCATGAATTTGGGTGACATATGGTTTGAACTGCCTGAAAAGGCTAGAATTGCCGTCGTCGCTAAACTCGTGGAGCTGGAGTCTCAACTGTTCACTCTTGAGTTTCCGGCAAGCGGTAGTCTGTATCACACTAAGGATCTGCCAGATGGATTCAGTAAAGTCGAGGTTCCCATCGCTAAATTTGACCGCGATGGCGACTTTTGCATTGGCCCGGATACAACGCTCCGCATGTGGTATGGAAAACGGGGCGATATGCAAATTCATCGAGGACCATGTACGTGTTAGCTCTTCGATTCACACAGCCAGACTCAATTTCCTATTGCATTCTCTACCAGCATGAACTAAGCATTCCAAAGATACAGATCCAACATCGGCACTTATAGCCGGGGCCAAGAAAGAAATCGCATATCTGACGAAGTTCGGCCGTCCGCTTCACCCCTTCCAACATCTGTGGCGAGAGATCTACAATTATCAAAAGCAATCGCCCTCGAATCATCTTGACAGCCTGGAGAAATACCTACAAATTGCGCCTTACCTCATTCCGCACGACAACGAAGCTCTTGCCCGGCCGACACTGCGACATCCCGATCTCCAACCAAACAATATAATTATCTCGAATAGACTTGAGGTCACTAGTCTAATCGACTGGCAACACTGCGCTATACGCCCGCTCTTTCTGCAGTGCGGTATCCCAAA